ACTGACTCTTAAACGGTTAAGGAAAGGCATGATGTAAAGTGAAAAAACAGCATAACACTAAGTAGGAGTGGGTTTCAGGTATGGGAAGAACAACTTTTAGACTATTCTCGCAACTTAAAGCTTCAACAAACAAAAAATGAAAATTATAAAAAAAGGATACTAGAAGGATATATTAAAAATAAATGCATGTATTTCTAAAATACCAAATAATAACTTTTAATTAGTCCCTAATAAAATTAATACTAAAGTATTTATTGACATAAAATCATGGTAAGGGAAAAGTTACTTTTTCTTTTGGAAGTCCTCCCCCAAGCACAGTAAATTTCTGTGATTTTTCAAAAATTCAACAACTTTCTATAATTCTTGTTTAGCTTCCTCCACCTAAAATAAGATAATTTGTCAAATACTTTAAATAATGCTTCTCGTTAGTAAATTACCAAGGCTTCCTCTTAAAATATCACATTTACTTTGGTTATATAATTAACTGGGCTTTCTCTTTATGTCAAGGAAAAAGTATACAAAAAGGACCTTTAATAAGCACTCAGAAGCATCTCTCCTTATCCTTATTTCCAATATACAACATCTCCTAATTATGCCAACAAAAAGGACTTCAACTTCTATTTTCTCAGTGGAAAAAAAAAAAAAAAGAAAACACTGGGCAGAGTTAAAAAGAAACTACCACATTAAAACATGGCCAAAAAGGAGCTGGGGATTTAGCTCAGTAACGTAAGCACCTGCCTGGCAAGTGTGAGGCCCTGAGTTCAGTCTCTGGTACAAAAAAAAAAAAAGACATAGCCAAAAAGCAATCTGAGAACCTACAATTTCTGGTCATGATTATACTGTATCACTACTTCTAGGACATTTCCCACAAGCATTTCCAGAAAATATTATGATTTTTTGTTTGTTTGGTGTGGTTTGGTTTTGACACAGGTCTCACTTTGTAGTTCAGGCTGGCCTTGAACTCAATATGCAGCTGAGGTTGGCCTGGAATTTGCAGTGATCTTCCTGCCTCAGCCTCCTGAGTGCTTGAACTACTGGTGTCCACCACCATGCCTACCTAGAAAACATTACAATTGCTAGAGTCAGAAAGGTTTGTTTTTTGATTAGTTTTTGTTAGACTTGGTAGGTCTCTGAAAGTTACTGATTCACTCCTTAAAATTTTTACTAAAACGTTCACAAAGTTAATCATTAAAAACAAAGTTCTGCTCACTCCAAAGCCCAGAAGAAATGCAAACATATGGTTCACCAAGAATGTTACTTGAGTTCAAAACTGGAAACAATCACTGAAAAACCTAAATAAATATACTGTATTGCAGTATTCGTGTAATGGCATTACTGTGCTGTGAGGATAAATTAACTACAACTGCAAATAATGTGGTTGGATCTCAAAAGCATCACACTCAATGACAGAAGACAAACCCAAAAGGGCACATTCTACAGGTAATACAACTATTAAAAAAAAAAACCTGGGGCTGGGGATTTAGCTCAGTGGCATAAGCGCCTGCCTTGCAAGCAGGCAGTCGTGAGTTCAATCCCTGGTACCGATAAAAAGACAAAACAAAAAACAAAAAAAAAAAAACAACCTCAGAAATAGGGAAAACTAATAAAAATATCAGGAAAATGACTATCCAGAGACAGGAGGAAATAGTAAGTAGAAAGAAGCTACTAAAAGGCTCTGGAGATCTGTTAATACTCTCCCTGCTCTTGAGTTGGGCACTACTGACATAGGTGTGCTCACTTTGTGATGATTTATGATTTGGGCACCTATATGCAAACATGTTACAATTCAAAAAATTTATGCTTAAAACGTCTTGGCTGCATTTTTTTTTTTTTTTTTGTCTTTTTCCTGTTTATTGGTACCAGGGATCAAACTCACGACTGCCCGCTTGCAAGGCAGGCACTTTTGCCGCTGAGCTAAATCCCCAGCCCCCTTGGCTGCATTATTAAAAGACTACATTTTTTTCCCATACAATGAGTCAGATGTAGTGGCATACACTTGAAATCTCAGCACTGCAAAGACAAGCCTAAGCTCCATAGTGAGACTCTGTCTCAAAAAAAATAAGAAAAATAAATAAAACAAAAGACAATACATTTGAGGACAATGTAAACTGCTATAATACAGTTCTTTTAGTCACACTTTTTCCCAAACTCAAAAGCCTTTGATTTGTGTATGTTTTACAAGGATGTGTTAATGTCTTTCTTCCTTCCCAAGTTCCTAACTGTATTTTTAATTATGTAATCGTTTTTGTTCTTTCCATACACAAATATATAAATTATTCTACAATAAATTTCATTTAGTAGCTGATTAATTTTTAAAAAGAGTACATTTTTAAAAAAGTATTCAAAGACAACCACATAGGAAAACAAGACTGATACAAAACTGGTCAAAATAATCAACCAGGTGTGGTAGTATACTTCTGAAACCTGGCAGAAGGCAGAAAGATCGCCCCAAGTTTGAAGTCAGATGGGACTACATACTCCTCATGGATTTAATGCCAACATTAAAGTGAAAAGAGTAAAACAAGAGATTAAATATTTACTTTTCAAATTAACTACATTCTCTTTCAACTTTTTGGTCAAAGTATTCCCAACTGAAGAATATAAAATCTATTTTAAAAATGGCGCTCAAGAGGATCAAGAAAATGAATTATTATAAGAAGCCCACATTAATTTTGTACAGGCGCATGTGTGGCGATGGCACTAGGGATTGAATCTAATGAACACTAATTACCGATTCATTCCCAGGCCTTGCTAAATTTTTAAAAATTTGAATGATTTGACTCCTGTTCAAGGGAATGAATCTTGGACAGCTCTACCATTGAAAACATCTGACCCTTTTAATTTTTTATTTTGAGATATGGGCTTGCTAGATTGCCCAGGTTGGCTTTAATTTGTAATCCTTCTGACTCAGCCTGCTCGGTAGCTGGGATTACACACACGAGCTGCCACCCAGCCAACAGCCCTTATTAAAATTCCACTTCAGAGTTGGAAGTGGGGAACTTCAAATTCTTCTTATAGAAAGATTTCTTACTAAACATTCCTTGAAAGACAATTACTCAGGCTCTATTATTCCCCAAATCAAAGGCATATCAGATTAGTAAAGCATACAAAAGAGCACAATACAAAACTAAAATTTCAGAATGCATATTTGGAGAAAAAATTGAAATTAGAAGTGTTTTTGTTGACTGGTCTTAATATAAATCAATGATCCAAATTTAAGTGGTTCTAACAGTCATAGTTCCCTAATCCACTCACCAGCTCTCACAAAACTTTCTACCTTTTCTAGAAATTACACACTGCTCTTCCTTCCATATTCTCAGATGATCCTAACTCTGGTTTCACAATCAAGTTCCCTACTTTATTTTCTGTTGGGATGAGTTGTCTATGAGCCTCCTTTCAAACAAAATTCAAGAATTATTTAATTGCCTTTTCTGCCTCATCTATTTTTTGTAAATTCCTAACATTCACAATTTAACACCTGCTATCACACTGAAGTTGTTCATTATCAAGTACACCAATCACACACTGCTAAAATGAAATTCAATTCTCTCTCCCTCTTTTTTTTTTTTTTTTTTTGTACTGGGATTAAACTCATGACCTTGTGCTTTCCAGGAAAGCACTTGAGCTACTGAGCTAAATTCCTGGCTCTGAAATTCAACTCTCAATGGACCACCCACCTCACAGGGCCAGCTGGCCCCTCACCCTGGTGAGGAAACATTTTCTTCTAGTTTATTCCCTCCCCAACTACTATACAGACAGCTCCTCATTCTCTGTTCCTGGTCCCTCCTCTGGTGTATTAACCTGGGAGTACTCTGAAGCTTAAGGTTAGACCTCTTCTCTTTGCCAGTCATACTCAACTTGCTTGGTAATCTCATTTAAACACATAGACTTGGGGCTGGGGATTTAGCTCAGTGGCCTAAGCACCTGCCTTGCAAGCAGGGAGTCATGAGTTCGATCCCTGGTATCGATAAAAAGCAAAAAGACAAAATAAATAAATAAATAACACAAAGACTTAAATGATGCATTCAAGTGCATATTCAGTGCTCTCATCTGTATACTTACTGAATTTTTAATCTTTATTCCGAATATTGCTTCTACCCACAGTCTAATTTTTTAATTTCAGAAATGGCAACTCTTCCTGTAAATGCTCGTACCTTGCAATCTTCTTGATCTATCTTTCTCTTATACTTTTAACTTCTAATCAGGGAATCCTACTGTACCTACCTTCAAGATCTAACTACATCTCACCAACTTCACTTTAATGTTTGTCTGAGACAACATCATCTCTTACTGGATGACGGCAACAGGCTGTCATTTAACTTTATACTTTCTAGACTTTCAAGGCTAGGCTACCAACACAGCAACTAGACTGTTAAAACCATACCATATCTCTGTTCAAAATTCTTCAATGGAACAAATTTTCAGAGTAAAAGGCTGTGTTTATAAAGGCTTCTAAGATACTATCCAAAGTGTTCCTGTATAACTTTATATCTCCTATTATTTTTTACCTATTTAGTTCCATAATCAAACTTTAAAAACCTTATTTAAGGGTAACCCACTTGGGACCTCTTCTGTCTCTCTCCCAGACAGAAGCTTTCTTTCTCTCAATTCTGCTTTATAAAATTAAAAAAAAAAAAAAAAAACATACCTTTATTTAAGGCTGAATGTGATGGCACATGCCTATAACCCCAGCAACTTGGGAGGGGGAGGCAGGAAGATCACTGCAAGTTCAAGGCCAGCCTAAAATGCATAGTGAAACCCTGGCTCAAAAAGACCAAAAACTGGGGGAAAACAAAAACCCTGATTTTAAAATGTAGCACTTCTCCCAGGGCTCCTAATCCTCTTTACTCAGGTCCCCATAAAGATTCTAAGGTTGCCAGTATTTTTTTTAATTTAATTTAGCTATTCCAGAATAGCCTTGAGAATCAAATGCTGGCCTTATATAGGGTATCAATTATGTATCATAAACGTATAAAGAAGATGAAGAAATCTTAACTTACTCCTTTTAACATGCTCAAAAGTGACATTTTTCCTCTGAACAGGATCTACTGCACAATCAACTTCTGTAGTAATCCAGAAGCAGACTAAATGGAAGAAAATAGATGTTAATATTTGAAAGATTAATAAAATTCCAAGCATCCTAATTTTTTGATGCAAGAAAGCAAAGACTACAAAAATTAAACATCTGAGAAATCTCAGTTCAAATACACTGAATCAAAGTACAGGACAGAAACTAGGTCTTCTAGATTTCTAGATCACATTCAAATAGCAAGTGATTCACATTAAAAGACACATACTTTCATTTAAAACCAAGAATTATTTTCCTCTTCTTATAATACTTAATAGAAACCTTAAGTGAATAGTTATCAAATTTCAGTATGAATTTTTTTTTTTTAAGACAGGGTATCACTATATTGCCCAGGCAGGAGTGCAGTGGCTATTCACAGGCGCAATCACACTACTGATCAGCACAGGAGTTTTGACCTGCTCCGTTTCCAACCTGGGCTGGTTCACCGCTCCTTAGGCAACCTGGTGATCCTCGACTCCTGGGAGGTCACCATATTGATGCCAAACTTAGTGCGGACACCCAACCTGCATAGCACACTGCAGCCCAGAACTCCTGGACTCAAGCAATCCTCCCCATCTCAGACTCCCGAGTAGCTGGGACTACAGGCACACGCCACCACACCCAGCTTCAGTTTGAATTAAAAAATTCCTTGAAAACTGTGTTAAAATGCAAATCTCTAAAACACTGTTACACACTAATGGATTGCAGAGTTGAAAGAGAGCCCAGGAGGTTGCATTGTTAATGAGCACCTTTAATTATTCTGACACACCTGGTTACAGATCTATATTGTGAAATAAACTGCCTTAGACACAGCATAAAAAACTGGCCCATTCATTTAATAAGACAAAAGAAAAGAATTATTTCACTTTTCAAGTATTCTTCAGTGTTGAGAGTGTCTAGTGCACTCTGAACCCCGGGAAGAGGCACACACACACCAAATCGGGACACGGGGGGTGCAGCGCGAGGAAAAGAAAGAGAGACACGGCAATTGCAACTGCACTGCACTGCACTGCACGCTGTGCTTTATTTTTAGGGTCTTATACAGTAAACCAGATCAATTCACAAAACACAGACGATTATCTTGAAAAAGCATTCTTTGTGACAAGCTTTGTGACAGACTACAATGTTTATCTGAACTATCTATGTTAAGCAAACAAGCAAAACCAGTTCTTCTAGCCCCACTAGCCCAGGAGGAACTCCATTAGCCTAAGAATGTTTTTGATTATATTTGTTCTTTAGTGTCACAATGGTGGTCGGCCACTTCCTCATGACTCTGCAAACAAAGCCAAGTCACACAGCATGGGTTGAGAGGGAGGGAACATTTTCCCCCACTGAGATCAGGCATTCCTGTCCCATCTCTGTCTCACATACTGGGGGCTATTGTTTACTGCAGGTCCCGAGGGGGCCAGGGCCTTCAAAGTGACTCCTCATCCCCCACACTTCAGTAATGACATTTTAAAGGAAGAGTTTGGTAAGATAAAATAATTAAGAGTCATTCTGAACAACCACTATAGGGCTTTTTAAAATTGCTCCTCAGACAACCCACTCAGAACCTCATCTGTCTCTCTACAACAAAAAATTTCTTTCTCTCAATAAATATTGCTACTCTTAACCTCCACTGTTCCTAAAATTCATTCTTAAATTTTGAAGAACAGGAACTTACAGTGACATATAGTAGGCTGGGAGTTTCACTCCCCTGTATCAAAAGGACATAGGGCTGTTTGAAAAAAATACAGTCATTTGGTGGACTTTTTGAAATAAAAAGATAGTTATTTGGTGGGGTTTATCATACATAGATCCAATTCATATTGTTAGGTCTGAGAGAAGGGGGAGGAGAGGAGAAGTCCGTGGGAGGAATGGAGCGGAGTGGACAGCCGTGAAAGTAGTGGGCAGCGGTGACTTTATTCCGGGAATGCAGGGAGGGGGCCCCCCGCCGCCGGCCCCGGGGCGCAGCATCTCTGCACCGAGCCCGGGGCCGGGCTGTGGTCTCTCCGGGAACACGGGGAATGGAGACTGGCGCGCTGGCCGGCGCTGGCCGCTGGAATCTGGCGAGCTCTCTCTCTCTGGCGAACTCTCTCTCTGGTGAACTCTCTCTCTGACACGTGGCGTGGGGGAATTTAAATAGCCTAAGCTTAGGGCAGCACCCTAAGGCCATTAGAGATGCATAGGTATCTCATTGGCGCACAGGTTCTTAAGGATGGGGATATAGGGTTACAATCAAGTCCATGGGGGCGGGGGGGGGGAGTTTAGCTGCAGCCTTTTCTGGTTACAGTGTTCCATCTGGGCCAGCAACTCTTTCATATCCCGTCTTCTGGTTATTAGGAAAAGGGGCGAAGATCTCTCTCTGTAACTACTTCCTGCTGGCTGAGGGCGCTGTATTGGGGGTCTAGGGGAGTTCGACGGGATGAAGGTTGATGTCCAGGTAGACACTGATGCCAGGTGTTTTAGCCAGGACAACTTCACTGGTGAATGTATGTATGTCAGACTGGAAAAACAAAGAGACATAATGTCATTAGGAGAGATGGCACTATTATATTTAAGGACCCAGATGAGGTAGATAGGAAGGTGACTTTGGTTTTGAGATGGTATTTTATCAGGGTGACGTTGAGGTGGCAAGGCAGAATTCTGAAAAATAAACGTGGGATTAGGAGGAGTGAAGTTATGAGATGTGTTTACTCCCCCTATGAAAGCATAAAAGTTAAAAGGTAGGTAGGTAAGGCTTGACTCTGGTATATATGATGTTGGAGACTGTAAGCAATCGTGTTAGGGACTCCTGCTATAGAAATGATCATTAATAGAATGTGAGAAATTAAGAATCAAACTCGACAACAAAACATGACAACCTGTGAGTCATAAGGCAGAGATGAGCATCAAAAGGATGGTTAGATCTAGGGCCTGAGTGATGTGAAACCAGAATGGCAGTTTAAAAGGGAATAAAAGCATTTTATGATTTAGGACTGGGACCTGTATAAAAATGGGCCTGTTTGTAAATGGCATAGGTTGACCATCAATACCATGTCATAGAGATTGATTTAATATAGCAACCTGAATACTCAGGAAGAATCCTGTATATATGGCCTCTATGTCCACAAATATAGAGAATATCTTACCTGAGACTGTAGTGCGACTTGGAATCTGAGACGGACACTTTAAAGGGGGCTGTTGTTGTCCTGAACCCCCTCAGCCTCTAGCAGCGATTTTCTGTCGGTGACGAATCTGGCAATGTCGATATTTTTTTAAGGGCTATTACTTAGGATGACTTACCCACTCTCTGGTGGCTAGGACAGTCCAGTAGCCCTGGAGTAAGGTCTCAAAGAATGCCAGGATGGGGCGTCTTCTGCTGCATTTGAGCGTGGTCCATGGAGGGGGCAGGCAGCTCCACCTTGTGTAGGTTTACCTGTCTCAGAACTCCAAGTGTCACAAGTGTTAAAAATATGAAAAACCATATTAAGATCTCTATAAGGTTTGAAGGTCAAGTTTTGCCTTTTTGTTTGGGATTTGGACTATAGTAGACTTAAGTAAGTATGTAGGAATTTAATATCAGCATTTAAGATTATAAGGCAGGCAGGTTGGTAAAATTATCAGGTGGCCAGCAATAGTGAACAAATGGTAGAAAAACTGTAAGAAAAAAAAGGAAAAAAAAAAAATAGCCTCTCTCGAGTGGAACTGAACTGTAAAAAAAGTTTGGGCAGGGCCGTGAGACTTTGGAAATGTGTAGTATTAAAGGCAGGTTGAAACACTGAGATCTGTGGCACGCGCCCAGCGCGTGTTTGGTTGTCGTGAGGCAGCAGTGGCAGCCTGTTGCCCGGTACCGCGGAGGGGCGGGCCGTGTAGAGTGGGCAGGGCGAACGCGGGATACCGTAAGCAGAGAACGGAGGCTTACTGTGACGCGCTAAGCGGCGCAGGGAAATGACGTGGTTTCGCTGCGACCGCGTAAGGGGGTGGGGCTTGGAGGCCCCGAGTGGTGATCCCAGTTGACGCCTGGCGCCAATGGGAGCTGTGGCTCACGTTCGGTCCCCCGGAGGGGCGGGGCGACGGCCAAGGCGGGCGACAGAGGGGGTGGCCGCGCCCCGGAGGGGCGGGGCGGGGCGGCGGCAGAGGCAGTCAGAGGCACGGCTTGCTTGCTGCGCGGAGCAGGGCGAGTAGTATGCTGTGGCCGCGGGAGAGGCACAGCGTGAAGTTAGGCGGGCTTTGTTGTGAAAAGCTCACGGGCCGCTCTAGACCCCGGCGCGCTGTGAAAGCGACGGCTTTTGGGCGGCTATGGCGGGCGGGGTATGGCGGCGCAGGGACGCTGCGGGACGCTGCCGCCGTGTGGCCGCGCGGGTGGTGAAACAGGAAATGGGCTGGGCTGGAGGCCAAAGCCACGAGGCCCACAGAATTGGAAAGCAATGTGAGAGCGAAAAGAAAGAAAAAAGGCTGTTTTTAAAATCAAAAGCAGTTTGATGTGAATCTCTGGTCTCATTGTCTGGTCTCATTGTCTGGTCTCATTTAACCTTGGCAGAACGGCGGAGCCCGGGTGCAGAGGAGCCGGGCGCGGGCGGAGGAGATCTATGGGAAGGGCCACACTCGCGCCCAGAGCCGCTGTGCCGGCGAAAGAAAGGGAGCTATAACGTGGTTGGAGGGGGGAGGGAGAGGCGCTGGGCGCAGAGGAGCCGGGCGCGGGCCCCCCCTGGGGTGACTAGGCCTCGCGGGCCACGCGGGAGGCCGTCCCATGACTGTGGGACCGGCGGCGCGGAGGAGGCGCGCAGCGGGGAGGGAGAGGAGCCGCGCTGGGAAAGAAAGCTGCTTTAAAAGTTTTGTAAAGGGCCCGGGCTCGCGCCCAGAGCCGCTGCGCCGGCGAAAGAAAGGGAGCTATAACGTGGTTAGAGGGGGGGGGAGGGAGAGGCGCCAGGCGCAGGCCCCCCCCCTGGGGTGTCTAGGCCTCTCGGGCCACGCGGGAGGCCGTCCCATGACTGTGGGACCGGCGGCGCCGAGGCTGTGCGCGGGAGCCGGAAGAAGGGCGCGCGGGTCGGGGACACAGGGAGGAAAGAGCGCACGCTGGGAAAGAAACAGCCTGTTTTAAAAGTTATCAGGGGAGTTACTCACCAGGGTTGTAGTGGATTTGTGACTGTAGAAGTGAAGAAGTTTGATCAGCAGGGGACTATAAAACAAAAGTGGAAAAATTATAGTCTCTCACCTGCCGCCGAGTCACAGGGCATCATCTGTTAGGTCTGAGAGAAGGGGGAGGATGGGATGAGGAGAGCGGAAAAAGTCTGTGGTAGGTCTCTGCACCCGGGGCCGGTGGTCTCTCCGGGAACACAGGGAGTGGAGACTGGCGTGCTGGCCGGCGCTGGCCGCTGGAATCCGGCGAGCTCTCTCTCTGGCGAACACTCTCTCTGGTGAACTCTCTCTCTGACACGTGGCGTGGGGGAATCTAAATAGCCTAAGCTTAGGGCAGCACCCTAAGGCCATTAGAGATGCATAGGTATCTCATTGGCGCACAGGTTCTTAAGGATGGGGATATAGGGTTACAATCAAGTCCATAGGGGGCGGGGGGGGGAGTTTAGCTGCAGCCTTTTCTGGTTACAGTGTTCCATCTGGGCCAGCAACTCTTTCACATATGATAAAGGTAACATGTAGGGAAGTGTAGGAGAGGATGGTAGATTTATATAGTTATAAGATTTGGTTAATTGGAAGCCAAATAATATTAATTTAAAGTAAACTTTTAAAATTTAAAATTTTAATACATTATCTAAAAACAGTGTTATGGGGCAAAAATGAAGGTTGCTTAGATAGAATAAAAATGTATCTAAATAATCCAAATAAAGGCAAAAGGAAAAATAAACAACAAAAAAATTGCTCCTCAGGTCCACGTTCTCAAGTAGAGCAGATACAAATGAGTAAAGAGTGATTTCTAGCCAGAGGTTTAGCTCAGTGGCATAAATGCCTGCATGGCAAACACCAGGCCATGAGTTCAATCCCTGGTACCAAAAAAAAAGGTGATTTTCTAATAACTTCATGAGACTAAATTGTTGCCACTAACATGCAGTGAAATTTAAAGGCAAAAAATAAGGCAAAAGAAATAAATCCTTACTGGCACTTGTCTTTAATCTCAACATTCTGGGAGACTGGGACAGCAGGATCTCAAGCTCAAGGGACCTGAACAAGTCAGTGAGACTCTGTCTCAAAATAAAAAACAGGAAAAAAAGGACTGTAGACATACCTGAATGCAGGTCTTGGGTTCAATCCCTGAGGCAAAAAGAGAAAACACCAATAACAAGAAATGCTTAACACATCAAGACCACACAAATGGGAGAATACATATATAAAACAGTAATTCCAGAATGGACACACAGTTTGAGCCTTTTAATAAAGTGTTTAAGGATCTTAGATAATTACAGAGAATGAACATATGGTAAAAACTGAGTGATAGCTGAGAAAGTAATTGGAACCACCTAAATCTAGTATTTATAATTGTATTTCAGAACTGCAAACTGAAAAGATACTGGATTCATTTGATTATTTTAAGAAAAATTCAATTTATGGACTTGTCTTTGAAACACAAGACTGCCTTCTATTGTTATTATAAAATCTTACATGATGCTAAAATTTGATCATCCCACATGTATCATTCTCTAAAACCCTAAAAAACTAACCACTAGGAATGAAAGGTCTTGCAATGCAATCCACCAGGAGGTCCTTACCAGACGCCACACACAAACATATTGCTCAGAATCCAAAAATCCTGTCTAAAAACAGGGCACTAGACATCATTTCTCACACTAATGGCAATATAACAGATGTTAAGAAATCTTAAAGGTTTTCTTCCATTTTCTAAGAATTTTCAGGAAGCATAAGAATTAAAGTAAGTCACACGAAATCATAGCATTTTCCTTTTCTAATCAACACGAATTAACAATTTGTTCATGTAAAATTATATCTGTATTCCTTCATCATTGATTTTTTTTAAGCAAATGTCTAGACTTGGTTTTGTCAGATTTTATTTAGGATTTTGATATTTATTAAGAAACTGACATACTGCATTCTTTTTTCTGCTAACAATGATCAGTTTTAGTAACAGCAGCAACTTTATAACCTAAGTAAGGAAAACTATAAGGTCTTGCCATGTAGCCAAAAGTAACCATAAACTCATGGACTAAAGTGATGATCTAACCTCAGCTTCCATAGAAGCCTGGAGGGCACATGCCATCATGCCCAGCTATCTTTTTACTAAACTTTTAGGGTTGGGACTGACTATAGGTTAGTGGTAAAGTGCTTGTTCAGCATGGTGTCTCACTATGTACCCCAAGCAGGCTTCAAACATTTGATTTTTCTGCTTCAGACTACCTAGCAGCTAGTCATAACTGCATGTACTGACTTATTTTAAAAAAATCTTTTAAAACAACAGGAAATTTATCATTCTAAAGAATCTAACTAGAAAATCATCTGAACACTCAGGAGGCGGAGATATAAGCTAGTTTAAGTCCACCCTGGCACTACTAAAAACAAACAAACATTACCTGAACTTTGAACTAAGGATATTTTCTTTAGATTATTATCCTTCAATTTACAGTTATCTTATCTGTTCGTGGGTCAATTTTGCTAACTTGCATCTAATTATTTCAACATACTTTTATTCTTTCACATGGCTGGGCCAAGCATTGGTGGCACATGCCTATAATCCCAGCACTGAGGAGGCTGAGCCAGGAGGATCACCGTGAGTTTGAGGCCAGCCTGGGTTACATAAGCAAGTTTAAGGCCAGCCTGCACTATACAGTGAGACCTTGTCTCAATCAAAACAAAACAAAACAAAACACCACACCAACACATGTAGTGTACATGCCCAGAATCCCATTTACTCAACAGACTGGAGCAAAAAGACAAAGTGTGAAGCCAGCATGAGCCACTTAACAAAATTCCATCTCAAAACTGGGTCAATCCTACAGCAGATGTGGCTTAACTTTAGGCTACAATTGGCAAAAAAAGTACATTGCAGTGAGGAGTAAATGTGAATGTGCATGTGTCTACGGGAACCTGTCTGGAAATTCCTGGATTGAGCACTGATGTCAGACACAAACAAGTTGCTTCAGTCATGAATCACACACACACCTGTAGTGTCATGCTTATTCACGGTAGTCTGTGATTTGCAGCTCACATACATTTACTACACAGTACTGTTGAAGAAACCTATCTGCTGTGAGTGCTGCTCACTGCTAACTTGTTTAAAGACAGAAATGGAGATTCTTCATGTTCCTATTTTTGGCAATCTGGGACTGGGGAATTTAGCTCAGTGGCTCAAGCACTTGCCTGTCACATTCCAGGTTGTAAATTCAATCCCCAGTACAAAAAAAAAATCTATAGCTCTTATTGTACATTTTCCTGATTTAAAATAACATAGAACTATCTAAACTGATAAATTTCAAACACTCTTAAGTCCTACTGTCTATTGCAAACGGGTGGTCATAATCATTAGCATCATTAAAACAAATCTTAAAATGTTAAGTAACCTATTATATTTCTCAAAACAATTACAAGTGTTGCTTCATACCTGGCCAGTACCAAAGTTCTAAACAAATTCGCTGAAGGGTTCTTGGATGTTGTCAAAACAAGCAAGTGGAACGTAAAGACCTGGAGGGAAATTGCTAAAAGTAAATTTCTAGCTTTTCCATACCAAAAACATAAAAATCACATGAAGTATTAAGAATTCTTATCAACTATTAGAAAAGTCACAATATGAGTTTCATAACTTTTGGTCTGTGATATGACCTTACTCTCATAAAAATATCTGAAGTATCATTAATTTAATTACTTTAAAGGGCTGACCCAGCTCGCCTCCCTGGTAAGCAGCTGTGGCTCAGGCAAACTGCAGCCACCCCAGGGAGACAACCACCAGCACCTCCCAGGACCATGGTGTGGACCATGTTGGAACTTGGGTGCTAGGATACCAACCAACCGGCTCAGGCAAGCTGTGGCTGCCCCGGAGATAGAACCACCCAGCATCTCTTGATATTCGCACTATGTTGGAACTTAGGGTGCTAGGAAACCAAGCAACCAGCTCACCTCCCTGGCTAAGCAGTTATGAGCCACACAGGTGTGCGGGCTGAGAATTAAACATCCTATTCCACCACCTTCATTAGCAAATGGGAGCCAGAGGTGTGAGCATCTCTTGGGAGGTTGACCATATGCAATATAGCAAATAAAGGGAATTTCCTTCTATAATCTCTTTGAAGGCAAATATTGTTATCACTGTTTTGCTTTGTTCTGATTAGCTGTATTCAATATTCTGTTTTCATAAGTTTTACAATGTTCTGTATTTCGTTTGATTTTGTTATACCTGATTGAAAAAACAACTATTGTGAAGATAACGAGATATACTACTTTACTTATTACTGTTATCCCGGTAACCTGCGGTGAAGTTCTGTACCAATTTCACTGCACTGTCTCAATAGGCTTTGTTCTGACATATTTTACCACCTTCAAAATAATAAAAACTTTAAATATAAATAAAAGAGCTCTTCATGTTACTGTCACTTAACACATTACTTGTACATCTGATATATAGCTGCCAAAACTAAATTCCAATCAATACAGGTATAAAGTATATATGTTTAAGTTAAAATTACCTTTAGAACATAAAGAAATTGCTCTTCCTTAGAGACAATTTCAAAAGCCTCAGTGATTAAAAAAAAAAAAAAGCAAACTATAGCTATTGCTATCTTTCAAGTTTTCATAACCAGTGAGTACAAAAATAGTTCCCTCCAAAGCTGTGAGCATGAGTACAGTGATCCTTTCCAATTCCTCCTCTTAAGTAATTCGTCAACCCTTTCCTACTTCTTAGATGTTAGGGACTTGCTATGCAGCCAATAAATAGTAGCTATTGTTGATATGTATTAAGTTAAAATTACATACCGCAGATTAGAAGGGCAATATTAAAAATAATACTAAAAAGTTTATCCTATTGAACACAACACACAGCAAGCGCTTCAAGTTTTATATAGACAATAAAAAAGGACTGTCAATCTGAGTCCCCAGTCACAAAACCATTTTTCCCTTCACTCTTGTATTCTTTGATTCTTCATATTGCATAAAAGACCAAAGAAAAGAATTCGCAAATGAATTGTTTATGCAAGGTATAACTTCAAATCATCAACTATTCAAACCTATTCTTTTATTACTGGACTTTTATAAAATGTACTAATTTTAAAATCTGCTTTTCTATTAATATGACATAGATACTTTGATGAAGCACCAATATTCCTTACATATTATCCAAAAAGATATTCTGAAAGCTACACTGACAAGACTACAGTGTAACCTACTTATTATGTCAGGTTGTGAAAAGCTTCAAAAAAAATGTAGACATCTTGTACAAGGAACATTTCTTTATCAATGTATTATCACTGTAGTTAAAATAAGGACAACAAAAACACATTCTTCCCCAGTTGTGGTGGCATACTCCTGAAATCCCAGCACTCAGGAGGCTGAGGCAAGATCACTTCAAGTTTGAAGCCAGCCTGAGCTACAAAGTGAGTTCAAGGCCAGCCCGAACTACACAATGAGACCCAGTCTAATAAAACAAACAAATAAATGAAACACCTTTCTCTAAATACGATATGGTATAGTGCTTTAGATGCCAGAACAGAGTATCAACAGTAATTCAAAAAAGTGATTTGAAGACAATTTTGCTGAAATCCAAACAGTTCACACTTAATTAAAAACACTGTTCCAAACCAGTAATGGTGGTGCACACCTTGTAATCCCAGCTCTGCTGGAAGACTGAGGCAGGAGGATCCAAAGTTAGAGGCCAGTTTGGACCACTCAGCAATTTAGTAAGATTCTGGTCTCAAAAAATAGAAACCAGTTAGGGACATAACTCAGTGCAAAGGTCCTGGATTCAATCCCCAGTTTCACAAATAAATATATATATATATATATATATATATATATATACACATACATATACATACATACACTATATATATAATATATACACATACATACTACATATATATCAATGCGAATTTTTTAATAAATAAATGTACCATGATTATGGAAGATGTCAAAATTAAGGGAAGGGGCAGAATATACAAAAATTCTTGACACTATCTTTGAAATTTTTCTGTAAATCTAACATTGTTTGAACATGAAAAATACCAGAAAAAAAGAGAAAACTTTAAGAACCTGGCCTATAGTAAATGCTAATAAATAATTTCTGTT